TCATTCTTGGTTTGCCTTCTCTGTCGGCTGACAGGTTCTCCTTTAGCTGTAGGTTGTTTCTGTCAAGGGGTGCGGCCAGATCCGCTGCTGTGCGAGTCTGATCCCGTCAAGTCCTTGACGAACATCTCACCAAACTCATACTCCATAGCGCCTTTGACTAGTGTTTCCCATGGCGTCAGCTCTGCGGACATGTTCTTATGTATCAGTAGATGCCTCGCCATATCCATAGGTATGCCTTTCAGGAACTTCTTATTGACTTCGTAGGCACTGGGTTCATTGACCATGCGCCCAGACCAGTACTCAAGGTCATTGGCGTACTGCTTGATCCCACCGGCTACCGTATACCGTAAGCCTTCATATTTCTTTGTGGGCTCATATACATTGGCTACATTGATGAAACACTTATACAGTTTACTTAGGAAGCGCTCCAGGCTTGTGGTAGATCAGACACGACCCGGTGAGGTCGTCTCACGGTCGTACTATTCCCTCGCTCTTGCCGTTAGCGCTTGTCCTACCAGGGCAATTTGGCCGTCTACCATCTCGGGACCGCATACGCGGTTGATTCGTAAGTACCTAATCATCTCATTTAGCCAAACGTAGAAACTGCGCTCATCGTTCTTACCAGGCCATGCTTCTGGCAACAAGAGCTTCACGCTCTTTAGCGGTTGTATCGATGTGCGGTGCCTTACTGCTGCACATGGAGTAGCAATTTCTTGCAGAGTGCGGTCACAATAAGTGGCATATCCGTCTCTTACCTCGGTACCTGCGCGGCTTGGCGCAGATTGCTGGCTACTTACTCCCGATACAAACGAAGGGTACGTTGTATCATCTTGCTGCATGCCGGCTTCATACGGGCTTCGCCCGATATCTTCTTGGAAGGACACTCGACGTCCTGGTCGGGTGTTAATGGGCCTATAAGGTTCAGGTTCATCGTAATCATCAGTATTGCATCTATGGCCACCTCTCGGCAGCTGCTTGGAACTACGGTTCCTTGGATCGTCAAACTCTTCCTCTTCTTTGTACTGTTGAGGTACGTGTCTTGTCTTGCTAGGCGTTGCGCGCCTTGTATTCCTTTCAGGAGCTCGCAGACTTCCCCGTTTGTATCCGGGGCTGTACGCGCTGTGTCTCGGCGTTGATGTCCTTGGGCTTACGTCTTTGTCGCGACCTACCAGAGCACGCGCTCCCTTCGCCTTGGCTGGAGTCGGTGCACTGCATCCATTCTTAGGGTTGTCTTCCTCATGCCAGGTATCCTCGTACTTGCGCTCATCCTCCTTGGCACGCATCCGGAGTTGTTCCAGACGCTCAGTACGTCTCGTTCTCTCGATCTCGTTCTAATTGTGCACCCAGTCCCTCACAGTTTCTTCGAAGGTTGCGACGTCTTCCGCGTTTTCCTTCCCTTTACCGCGTACTAACTGCCACAATTGGACTGCTGCTTCGGCTGGTCTTCCACCGAAGCGCTCCATGATGTCTGCTTGCAGTAGTCAGCACTGATTGATGTTCCGCTCGGACTCACCTCGCGAAGGCTTGACAAAGACGGTCTTGTTCATCTCGATATCCCAACCGTTCCCGAAGATATCCGTAGGCATCCTAGTTTCGTCGGTATACGGATCATACTCTTGTTCGTACTCTTCCGCTTCTAGTACGCCTAATGCGGCGTCGACTTCTTCTTTGACTGCTTCTTCAGGCACTGATTCGCGGTTGACAGGTTCAGGCGGCGACACCGGTTCTTGACTATATGCGCGTTGAGTGCGCTCGATCGGGATTTCCGAGTGCCGTCTCACCGCGGGGCTTCTGCTGGGAAGCGGCGGCAATGGGTTTAATCCTGACCCGGAGGACCACGCGTTCTGAGACGCTGTGGTACTCGAACTGTTATGAACCTCGTTACAACATCGCTGACGTTTGTTCCGAGCTCGTACAGCTGGTGGGGTATAGATAGGGGGTTACTGCTGCGTTCCTGGGAACCATAGTAAGTTCAGTCAATCTTTATAAGGGTTATAGGGTTTTAGGAGTTTAGGGCTAATAGATTTCAGGGTTTCAGAGTTTAGAGCTTTCAGATTCAAGGATAAGTATTCCAAGAAGATAAGTTCAAAAAACTGTAAGATCTTATTATTCACTCTTAGCAAAGAACTTTAATCCGTCTTAATAGACACTTTTATTCAGGTTCTAGTTACAAAGAGTAAAAGGTTAGATGGGGCTTCGAGCGTACGGCTCGAAGCCCTTATATACTGCTCTACTGGTACGTAGTCATACTGAGTCAAGGTTGCGCTAACGGCGCAGTCCCAGGTTGACTCGGGAGGCGTGCCATGTGGCATCCTGCAGATAGATCTAATCTCAACTTAGCTGCACCAACTTGCCCAATCTGCCTGCAACCGGTTTGCCCAAGACCGATCTAACCATGATTAGTCTAGTGCCTGATCCCATCTGGTGCCAGAGTTGTTGCACATAGCAGGCCACGTTAGACTCTCAGACACCCTGTCACTTATGAAGTATCACTACACAAAATTCTGAGCTCATTTATAATCACACCTTTTTCCCTTGTACAAAGCCAAGCATCTCATGCTTCTTCCCGTACACACACTCAATGGCTACAGACCTTCGACTCAATCTTGCATTCTGTGCTCCTCATCACTTTGGGCCTATGTGATAGAAGCTAAAGCACAGGACTTAGTGGGCAAAAAGTTTCGGCGAGCCCCTGTCAGGTGTCATATTGACATCTGATTGTGAGTTAAAAGTCACCCCTGAAATGTAGACAATTTTGGCAGTGCATGTCGGCTGTATATATTCACTCACATCTACTCATATTTGGCTCTTCAGTCTGCAGCAAATAAGGTGGTCTACTGGGAGAGCGCTACATCACTGATGGGATGCTTAGCCGCTGCAAGTGGCCAAAATACCATTGACAAGCACCAAAAGGGGTTTGTGAGAAAACTACACCTGGGTCCAGGAGACAATGCCTTATACCCCCCACTGGCCCTGGTTGACATCACCACCCACCTAACATCCGAACCCCGCCACCTGGACCACAGGCTGGCAGGTTGGATCTCTTCCTGGATCCTCTTCATCTCCTTTAATTTTGTCTTGCATGATTTACTGAGTTCCAAGATGAAGATGTCCCTAACAGTGACAGGGGAAATGTGTCTATACTAACAGGTGCCTCTTGAGCAGGATGTATTGGCTGTGAAACCTCAATCATGATCAATGCTGTGAGTGGGAATAGAGTCTGATATATTTCTTTGTAGCATTACAGACATCTTATTAGAAATATCGGGGAGAGCCTCAGAGACTGGGCATCCAGGTGCTTGTACTGGCTTATACCGGCTTGCAAAGCCTGTCTGACTGGTGTTAGATGGGTGGGCGGGACGGGTTGGCAGGTGTTGCTTAGTCTAGACGTGAGCCAGCGGAGTTCGCCACAGGAGAGGGTGGCACACCATTGCTGGTGGGATAGGTGTATGAGCCGGTTTTCGTCCTCACTGAGGTGTGTGTATATTTACATAGCTAATCTATGATCTGTAATTTATACAAAGACCTGAACATGTCGGATAGAGCATTTTTGCTTCAAGTTGAAAGCCATGCAGATGCCATGTGTTGGCAATTCCTGCCGACATGTGGCAGAGGGCACCCCCCAACAAGGCACACTTTCCGTGCCTTGCCACCACCCACTGTTGAATGCGCAGCCTAGGAACGAAGCGCAACACTCTGCAGCACACAGAGAATAAGCAAGT